ACTATTATACTCTCTAAAACATCCACTCTTGAGTCTCATGTCACCAGGTTTCAACCACTTCTCTTCGTTGTTGGTGTTCTCCATCTATCCCCAGATCGCATTCCTTCATTTCTCTATGTTTTTTAGTTCCTGGGTCACTGTTACTCTCTTCAACTTTATTTCTGTTCTAATGATTGGCCATTTTACTATCAACATGGGTGATGATTTCACCTTCTGCTCTGGCTGAACTAGATTTTAAAGGATGAGTAAGGATCTAGGCAAACAAGGTGGGAAAGGAAATATTAGCTAGATATAGGAGCTTATATCAAAGCAAGAATATAAGATGAAGGTTTTGGAGATAGGGAACTACAGAGTAAGATTCGAGTGAAGTAGGGGCAAGATCATGGCCAACCATAATTATAATTTATTGAGACTCTGTTTAGTAGATAATGAGAGTCACAAGATTTTATGGGTAGGAGTAACAGGCCATAATTTGTGTTTATAAGATAATTGGTTGTATGTAGAAGGTGAATTGCCGAGAACTGTTGCCAGGGATTCTACCAGGCTAAAAATGTGTATCTCTGGGTGGCATATTATTTCTTAGATTCTGTATTTGTTCATTGTGCCACATCCTGGATTTGGGAGGCTATGATAAATATTTCCTGATTGGCATTGTCAGCTATGTCACCTGGGCTGGAGTCATGCTCACTGGTGAAGTATTTCTAGATTGCCCAAAAGATGTTAGGTAGTTGGGGGTAAAGTAGCCCTGTGAGTCCTTTCTTTTAAATTCAACAGGGCTTAGCGGGGATTTCACTGTAACTTCTCTGAAGATGGATAGGAGTGGGAAAATATAATGTAATGGTTAAGTGTGTAGTTTTGGAGCCAGAAAGCCTGGGTTTGAATTTGAGGTCTGTTTCCTATTGGCTGTGTGATCTTGAGCAGCCACTTAATCTTCACATGCCTTTTCCTCATACAAAATAAAAATGGGAATAAAAATCGTACTTTTTTTAGGGTTATCATTTGAAGTACACTTAGAGCAGTGCCTAGTATATACTAAATTTAATAAATATTAGCTCATTAGCTGTTGTCACATCTGTTTATATTATTTTGTAGCAAGGATAACTCTTTGGGAAAAATCTTGTTTAGTGTTTCAAACTCCACTTGCAAAGCATGAATAAAGAAATCATTTTAGGGCCGGCCGAGTGGCACGTTGGTTAAGAACTGGCTTGGGACGCCAGAGGGTCCCGGTTCGGATCCCACATATGAGGGCCAGTGACACTGCCCTCTACACTAAGATGCTGAACAACAGCTCAACCTGGAGCTGGGTTGCCGTGAGTTGCCAACGACGGCTAGGCTGCAGCCCCTGCTGCAGTAGGCTGCCATGGGCTACTGTGCGTAGCCAGCAGCCAGCGTGAGTGGCCCTCAAGCCACCGTGAGTGGCCATCCAGAGCCGGCAACTGATCTGCCTCGCCCAGGAAGAGTGCAATGATGGTGCCAACTTGGGCCAGTGAAGCAACATCCTCCACAACTAGATTGAAGAACAAAAAGACAGCAACTTGTCTGTTCCCCTTCCCCCAATTCCCCAATAAAAATATTTAAAAAAAAAAGAAAAAGAAATCATTTTAGTAGGTTGCTACAAGAATTAAGTAAAGAAAAGATAAAATGTAAAATTGCAATAAGATAACAATTAAATAACATTTATATTAGCTTTGTCACTTTTCAGCTTTATCATATGGCATAAAGGTATTACTTAAAATGCTTGTTTCATGTGTGCGTGTGTGTGTGTGTGTGTGTGTGTGTGTGTGTGTGTGTACTGGATCATCATTTTTAGTATATCTCACAATAAGAAAAATTTTGAAACACTGTTTCCAAAGAAGAAGTGAGGTTAAAACCCTGAGGCACTGTCAAAACATGAGACTCCAGAATATTGCAATTTGTTCTACTCTAAGAAGAAGAAAATTCGTAACACCTAAATGTCTACCATGTTCCTATAGGACCATCCTGGGATCCTTGGTTGATAAGCAGAAATGTAATGGGGAGATCTTCCATTCACCTTACTATCTGCCCTCTAGGCTAGCCTGGATTCCCAAGAACTGACAGAGGCCCAAGTGATACCATTACACAAAACAAAAACAAAAGCAAAAAGCCCTATAATATATATCCTTCAATCTAGCCAATGTTTGTGTATTTCCACACTACTACATTCCTGCCTGAGAGGCAGGTCAACCTTCTGGTGTAAAGTAGGTGAGAAGTAGCTTCGGTGAAAAGGCACCTGGGACCTGATACCTATTGAACATCTATTGAGAAATTCAATACCACCTGGTTGCATGAGTCATGGTGGAAACACTGTATTACAGTAAAGTGTAAATAGTGAAGGAGATTCTCTAGAAAATTGTTCTGTGGCCCAAGAATGCGTGGAGGAGGCTGACAAGAAAATTTCTATTTTCTCTTTTGTTCGTTTTGACCCTTCCTGCTGTTGCATGCCCCATTTTTTTTTTCCAATGGTCATGTAAAGACATAAAAAAAGATTTGGGGGTAGGGGGGTGACCAGTTAGCTCAGTTGGTTAGAGTGTGGTGCTGATAACACCAAGGCTGCTGGTTCGATCCCCGCATGGGCCACTGTGAGCTACGCTTTCCCTAAAAGAGTCAACTCTGCCATTGTAGCATTAAAGCAATGTGTAACCAATGACCATGGCTGTTCCCCAATAAAATTAAAAAAAAAATTTGGGGGAAGAGTATTAAAAATATTTCAGAATTTAAGTAAGTCTAACAGATAATATGAATATAAATGGAATTTTAAAATAGGTTTAAAAGACCAGAAAGATGAAAGGTGGAACTAGAAAGATAAATTTTAAGACAAAGCACAACCTATGAGACTATAAGGTTAAAAAGTAAGGCAAACAAAGTTAAGAATTCACAAGAAGAAAGGAAGGAAATACAGGGCAAAAACTTTGGGTGCTGAGATTTTATGATTCCTTTTTTATTAAAGCTTTTCCTAGACTTGTTTCACTATTTTCAAACTATTTAAAATTAAAAGCCTTGTGGGTGCATAAAACTAAGCACTTCTATTTTTTTAAATCTTCACCACTGTAATAGCCAGTTGTGCTGTTTCATTGTTTTGGTTTTCATTTTTTTGTTTACTAGTGAAGCTGAACATCTTTTCATACGTTCACTGGCCATCATGTTTCTTATTTGTGACTTGTCTGTTCATATACTTTACTATTTTTATATTGAAGTGTTATTTTTTTTATTAACTTGTAAAATATATGTGTGTGTCTAAAGAATATAACTTCTGGGGCCGGCCGAGTGGCGTGATGGTTAAGAACTGGCATGGGACGCCAGAGGGCCCCAGTTCGGATCCCACATATGAGGGCCAGTGACACTGCCCTCTACAGCTAAGATGCTGAACAACAGCTCAACCTGGAGCTGGGCTTCCATGAGTCGCCGGCGACGGCGTAGGCTGCAGTCCCTGTGCCATGTGGCAGTGGGTAGCCAGCAGCCAGTGTGAGCGGCCAGCAGCTGCAGTGAGCGGCCGTCCAGAAGCAGGTGACTGATCTGCCTCTCCCGGGAAGAGCGCAATGATGGTGCCAACTTGGGCCAGTGAAACAATGTCCTCCACAACTAGACTGAAGAACAAAACGACACCAACTTGTCTGTTCCCCTTCCCCCAATTCCCCAGCGCTGTTCCCATCTCCTCAATTAAAAAAAAAAAGAATATAACTTCTGTTTATCATCTATGTTTCAAATGTTAACTGTATTTATGTTTTTCTCATTTACAGAAATATTTAATTTTTAATATAATCAGATTAATCAGTATTTTCCTTGTCTTTTGTCTTTTTTTTTTTTTTGGTCATGTTTAGAAAGATCTTTCCCATTCCAAGATTATAAAAACTATTCACCTATATTTTCCTCTATCTCCATCTTAGTGTGTTTAAGTTTTTTTGTTTATTATTTTAGTCACCTTTAAATTTATTCTTCATTTCTGTCTTTCTTTGGTCTTCTGCTTCTTTTTAGATTCTTCCAGCTCATTGCCACCCTCCCTTCCTCCCTTTCTCCCTCCCTCCTTTCCTTCCTTTCATTTACATCTCTTCTCTGAGTTTTTGCCATTTCTGCTTTGTAGTAATTCTTCATAGAGGTAACTTCTTTAAGTTTTAAAAATCCGTGTTAAATGTTTAGTCACAAATTTCAATAATTATAGCACCATTCTTTTTCTTGTCCTGTTGTTTGGCTAAAACATTTTGGAAACTATTGACTATTATTGGTGATAATTTCCTTCTTTTTCTTGTTCCTTACTATTAAAAGAATGCCTTGGGGTTTCAGCTCTAAGTGCATTGTTATGTATTAGATGTATTGTTACTATAGCTTCAAATCTGACCTTATTCTACAGTCAGGAATGGAGAACACATGGCCTGTGTTCCAGCTCTCTCCCCTGCACAGCCAGGACAGAGGCACTTGTCCATCATGGATGGCACTTGCTCCTGATGAGCCTGGTGGGACTTCCTATGGGAGGCAAATCTACTTGCCATCCTTGGTCTAATACAGCAAAGCATTTGCATTCCATTTGACCTTGGTCACCTGACTGAGACCAGATTCAAGCTTCTAGAAGAAATAACAGTCAGGGGGAAAATTATTACAGTTAATCCCAAGTTGTATTTTCTCCTTCATCAGCATTGAGGTGGCATCCATTACAGTAGATGAGATCACCCAGGGCAGTGATTTTTTTATAAAAAGCCTGGAAGAAAATTAGTAAGCCTGAGTTATACCAGCATAAAGGCTAGCATTTATCTTCATTACACACCAGGGCCTCTATGATCGGAGGTTTCTAAAAGCTCTCTCTCTTTTCCCTCACGTTTCTGTTCCAGATGTCTTCCTTCGCACTACACCCTCTGCAGTCCTGGAGGTCCGAAGGCGCACTTGCCTATGCGCATGCGCTTTGTTACCCAGCAACTTGGACCAGTCATCAGCACCATTATTACTCTTGTTACAAAACTAGAATGAATCCGAAAAATGCTCAGCGTGTCGCCATGGGGGCACGAGGGGCTTCCGGGGCTCAAGTTGGGGCTGAGTCGCTGCCTTAGGCCCCAATGAGACTACCATATCATCTTCCCGGCTTAGAGACAGTCTCCTCTTGTCACCCTTGGCATGTGGGAACCTGAGAAGGTGGTGCCCGGTTCGGGTGCTGTGTTTACATTTGGAAAAACTAAATTTGCTGAAAATATTCCCAGCAAATTCTGGTTTAAAAATGATATAGCTACATGTCTTGCATGTGGAGATGAACATTCTGCTGTTGTTACAGGAAATAATAAACTTTACGTGTTTGGCAGTAACAACTGGGGCCAGTTAGGATTAGGATCAAAGTCAACTGTTAGGAAACCAACGTGTATCAAAGACTTAAAGCCTGAAAAGGTGAAATTGGCTGCCTGTGGTCGGAACCACACCCTCGTCTCAACAGAAGGAGGCAGAATATATGCAGCTGGAGGAAATAATGAAGGACAGCTAGGGCTTGGTGACACTGAAGACAGAAATACTTTTCATCTAATTGAATTTTTTGCATCCCAGCATCGGTTTAAGTTTAAACAGCTCTCTGCTGGATCTAACACTTCAGCTGCACTAACTGAGGATGGAAAGCTTTTTATGTGGGGAGACAATTCTGAAGGGCAAATTGGTTTAAAAAATGTACCTAATGTGTGTGTGCCTCATCAAGTGACCGTTGGGAAACCCATCATCTGGATCTCTTGTGGATATTACCATTCAGCTTTTGTAACAATTGAGGGGGAACTGTATACATTTGGAGAAACTGAGTGTGGGAAGTTAGGTCTTCCCAGAGAGCTGCTCATGAATCACAGAGTGCCCCAGATGGTGCCTGGAATTCCCGAGAAGGCGATCCAAGTAGCTTGTGGTGGAGGGCACACAGCAGTTCTCACAGAGAAAACTGTGTACACCTTTGGGCTGGGACAATTTGGTCAGCTGGGTCTTGGTACTTTTCTCTTTGCAACTCCAGTGCCCAGTGTCATTAAGCCTGTTAAGGAGCAGAAAATAATTTATATTTCCTGTGGAGAACATCACACAGCTTTCATAACAGATATAGGTCTTCTGTATACTTTTGGAGATGGCCGATATGGAAAATTAGGACTTGGGATGAACAATTTTACCAATCATTTCGCTCCTACTTTGTGCTCTAAATTTTTGAAATTTATGGTTGAATCGGTTGCCTGTGGTGGATGTCACATGCTAGTTTTTGCTTCTCCACGAGTTGATATAATAGAAGTTGATATTCATGAAATGTACGATTGTTGCATATCTCCGTTTACTTCTCTGCCTGTTAGCAATCTGACCTCAGGAAAAGTACTTCAGAGAACTTTATCAGCACGTGTGCGGCGAAGAGAGAGGGCGAACTCCCTAGATCCTTTTCAGATGACACAAGTACTACCTCCAATTAAAGGGGCTCTTAGGCCACCTGTTCGCTGTTACCCCCGTTCAATTCCTATGTGGCTGTCTACAATTGATGTGCCAGAGAAATCGATGACTAAAAACGAGGGCCCCATGCAGCCCATGGAACCAGATTACTTTGAAGATACAATGACTGAATGGAAAGAGGCAGGTAGTTCTTCAACAGAGGATTCAGAAAGCCTCGGAGAAACTACTGATGTCTTAAATATGACACACATGATGAGATTAAATTCCAATGAGAAGTCTTCAAAATTATCACCAATTCAAAAACAAAAGGATAACAGACTTTCAGATGATGAAGATTCAGAAGACAAGGATGAAGAAATTGGTGAATATCTGGAAGGTGGAAAGAAAGCTGTAAGAGAAAATGAAAATGTTTCTGCAGATAGCCACAGTGAAACCATTGACAACTCAGTTGAAAAGGACAAAAAAACCAACCGAATGGAACAGCCCACTTGTGAATGCACTGAAAATCCAAAAGAAAGCATGTATCATCGTGCAAAGTACAGTTCTTCAGAATGCCTGGAAGATGAATCCACACCAGGTAAAGACATTAAAGTATCAAAGAACGTTTTCCTCTTTAAGCAACTGTCATTGATAAATCCAAAAGTTATGAAGAAGAAGAATGAAACACTCTCAGAAAAAAAAACAATGGGAGATGAAATAGCTTTTAAAAACAGCAAAGATGACCACATGGGGCAAAAACATCAAGCTACTTCACCCCTAAATACAGCAAACACATCAAGAACTTGTACAATACTTTAAATAAATATTTTGTGGTCACCAAAAAAAAAAAAAAACAAAAAACTAGAATGAATCCAGTGAGAGCTTTTCCTGAAAAGAGATAACATACTTGCTATTTTCTTTCAACTCCAGTTTACGCTGATTTAGGGGTAGGAACGTATTTGTTATTTAAATGCTTTATTTTGGTAAGTGTACATTTGCTAATATACTATGGATCTGGAAATGAGTCTGGAAATAGCTTGTGAAGCCATCTGATCGCTAACCCTTATATTCCCACGTAAGACAACTATGTTAAATCAGCCAACACATAAACTCACAGGCTATTTTTACCAACTCGGATGTCTTCTTAAAGGCAAGAGCCTGATGTTTTAAGACTCGGTCAAAAACATTCCTTGAGAAAAAAATTTTTTTTAGGTTGTTTTCCCTGGTCAAATATGGGAAAATAATGCTTTAGGCTTCCTATGCCTCAGACTATTGGTATGCTTAAAATTTCTCAATCTCATTACCATGAGAGAGTAAAAGAGGAAGCTGACACAAAATTTAAGTATTTGGTGCATTTTGCCATGTAATGTAATCATGCTATATATTATTCAGGAGCATTGTTTAAGTGTTTTGGGGATTAATAGAGGAAGTCACTAACAAAATGATTCTATATCTGAGTTTTTCTAATGAGGGTCAGATGTCTATAATAATAATTCACTCTGATACAACTTAATAAGGATGAATTGTTTAGTTATAAAGAATATTGAGTTACAACATGGGGCTGAACATATGGTCTTGTCCCATGCATCCTATGTTGATTGGGCAAGATATCAAGACTTAGGTGTCTGTAGTGGGTACCATTCAATCAAGTGTCAGTATTCAGGGATGTTTTAAGATTCAGTATATTACCAGTTCACAGAAAAGATTAAACACGAGACATGTCCTAAAATGGATAGATGGTGCTACAACTTCTCCAGTTCTTTTGGAACTTCACATTATTCGTTGTATTTCTTAGAATTGAGTGAATCTCTTCTGGTAGCATACTACTGTCCTATGGAACTGTGGGTGTGCGATAACTTGGGGTATCTTCAAAGAACTGCTCTCAATAGCAAAGAGCTTAAGGCGATGAGTTCTGGAGGCTACTCAGCTTCTGCCATCACCTCCTGGCATTCAGTTGGGGTGGGGTAGTCATCTCTTTTCTGGAGCCTCGAGCCTAGGTTTATGCTTCTCCCTAATTCCTCTCCTTCTCCAATGGTAACCTTCTCTGACCCTGCCTCACTGTGGAGCAGCCCATGGGGTCAGATCAGGTGCAGAACTAGTTATTATGTTACTGCCAGGAAATTCCAGGGTATGAACTAGGCAGTTGAGGTAAATTACAGGTATAGTATCTCATTACTTAGTTTAACAACAGTTTCGAGCATAAAAGTTTCTGAGGCATTCTCTGTCCTCACTCTCGTTACCAGTCCCAAAGCCAATTTCTAGACTATTGTGATTGTATTACCCAGCTCTGAAACTCCTTCTCTCAGACCCTTAGATTCCTGGAGAGTTGGGACCTTTTGAACTCTGCGTCCCAGGTCTGCTCCTTCAGCTTCATTGATAACTGGTGGTTAAGAGACCTGAGTCAGTAGAGTGGTAATTGGTTAGTCAGTCATACTTTTGATGAAAAAGTCTCAGAAGCTTTCCATCTTAAATTTTTTCTCTCTCTTATATTATTTTCATCCTCTTTCACCCATAGCACTGACTAGTTGAATGAGCGTTGAAATTGGAACCTAGGAGACCTAAGTTTGGGTCCTAGGTTTGCCATTTACTAGCAGTTTTGCCTGGGAGATTTCTTTAAGTCTCTGAGCCTCAGTTCTTTCTCATTGCAAAATGGAGAGGATCTTTGCCTTTCTCCTTTTACAGGTTTGTTGTGAAGGTCAAATAGCAGAAAGAAGGTGACAGTCATGTGTAGTTTGATATTCCGTTATGGAAGATGGCTATTCCATTTAAAAAGACAGATCTAAAGGTGACGGAGATTTGACTAACATCTGGGACATACTTATACTAAAAATTATTCGTTGTTACCTGAAACACAAATTTAACTGGGAATCTTTTTACTTGCTAAAGTTGGCAGTTCTACCTAGGTAATTCTCATGAGCAACCTGCTTTTGAAACTACTGACTCAGATCCTGAGTGGGGCCAGCCATAAAATGAGGGGAATGAGTTGATTGCCTATCTGGCAGGATTTCAGATGCTCCAGGGAGATGATCACAGTTTTTTTCCTATGAGAATAGAAAGTCCTGCCTCACCATCTCCTTAGGTTTGACATTTTACTCTTAGAATTTTATACTTTGTAAATGTGAGTATCTGAGGGAGCGGTAGGAACTTCAGGTAGGTATCCATTATTTACACTTTACTATAGTTGAATGACCTAAAAATAGGTTTTTGAGAGTGAGTAAAGGGAGCATGAGGGCCTGGCCTCTGTGGAAAGCGGGGGATGGTGGCCTGACTGGTTGTCCCAGAGCCAGGATGTGGGAGAGGCTAAAGGCACACTTTGCCTGCTCCCCAGGCTGCCCTGGATTTGACTTGTTCTCAGGTAGCCTGTGCCACCTCTCTCTGTTCTGGTGGAAAAGAGGTGACAGGAATGGGCCTGGGAGAGCAGTAAGCTTAGCACTGCAGTACCAGTTGGTGGATCATGACAGAGGACAGAAAAACAGCCCAGATTTTCTTGTCGTTCAAGTTCAGTGCTGTCCAGTAGAACTTTCTGCAATGATGGACATGCTATGCACTATCCTTTACAGTAGCCACAAGCCACAGCTGCTACTGAACACCAAAAATGTTACTAGTGCCACTGAACAACTGAATTTTAAATTTTATTTCATTTTAATTATTAAAATTAAAATAGTTACATGTGGCTAGTGACTGCCATATTGGACATATGGGCCAACATCAGTCTTTACTAGAGTGCCTCACTGGCTGGCAGCTTGTGGGCCATGTAGACACATTTTGTTTGCACAGTCAGAAAAACAAACCAACCTGATTTAGTTGCCAACATTTCATAACTGGGAAATTTTAAGTGACAACCTGAATTTCTGGCTTCTTTGGAAAACAACGGGATATCTGGCAACATCAGCCCAATAGTCTTTCCAGGCACCAATTAACTTGAGATTGTCAGTGGTTATTTTCCTTTGCTTTTATACCCCACCTGCTTTCCTCACTTATTTCGTTTGCCTCCCTATCACAGGCATTTGAGTTTGGGATCCCTGCTTGAAAAACAACATTTCAGTTTCACCCTTATGAAAATACATGAATTAAACTTCTAACATAGAGGCACCTTTTACAAATATTAATTAGAAGGTGCCTCCCTTAGACTGACTAGAAAAGGGGCCCAGGTACAGGAAAGTGGGGGCTTCAAACTCTGCCAGAGCAGGATCACAGCTGGTCAGCTTTGGGAAGTCCTTTGGCTTTTACAGTTTCTCCATCTGTAACATGAAGCCAATAACAGTGCTTACCTCATAATGTTGTTATGAAGCTTTACCACAATGAGGTTTATAAAGCACTTAAGATCCATGCTCAGTGATAAACTTAAAATTGAGAAAGTAACATTTTCATGTGAGTTGTTTTTTTATGCAGACAAGAAAATCAATTTGGAAAGAAACTGGTGAGAACGAAACATGCAGGGAAAAATGTACTTTTTTGTTAATAAATAAAAAATAAAGGGCTGCAGCCTACATGGAGAAAAGAAAAGAAAAAGTTCTTTTCATGTGTGTCTGAGTGAAGCTCGTGAGTCATCATTTAAGATAGCCCGCAAGAAAATAATTGCATTTTGAGCGTGTCAAGATAACATTGTCTCATTAACATACTTTTCCTTGCTTAGTGGCATTATTGCAATTGGAAAAGAATGAAAAATAGAAAAAAAATTAAATTCAGATGGAACATAACACCACCAAAAGCCCTTAAAATAGGGCAATGCATGTAAATGTGATCACAATGAAGAGAATTAGGAAGAAGGAAGTGAAAGTAATCTTCCTAAAAGATAATGTAAGTAAAACAAAAGTAAAGAAGTACCAGTAAAGGTGCGAAAAACAACGGCAACCACAAACAGTTGCAGAAGTCCAATGGTAAATAAGAAATTCATGCCTACATCATCAGAAGAAATGATGGCCAGCAGAACTTGTTAGACTTTTAATGTTACTGCTTTTTGGAAAATGGCAGGAGTTTAAGCTTAAATGATGATAATCCTTTTAGGACATTTGGTTATGAGAAAAACGCTTAGGAAACAAACATTTGAGCATGAGCTAAATACAGGGAGGTGAGAACAACCAGTCAAGGCTCTGATCTCAAAGAGTTACCAAAGTTGGGGAGAGATAGGCGAGAACGGGGCTAATATCTCAGAGATAGGTGGTGACTGGTGAATTCTGAGGCGCATTGTATAGTCTTCACTTTTTTCTTAAATTCAAAATTACCTGTATTTCAAGATATCAGAACACATTTACATATATTTGCAATTTTTGTCTTTCTATTATCTGTCTATGTAACAACTTTCTTCAAGGCTAAAAGATCAGAATTGTTTGATGCCTCCATATGACAGACCTAACAGACTAAATATGATCTGAAGTGAGTTTGGGAATAAACTCAGGCTTCTGAGTTCCCCGTTCCATGCACCATCCATTAGACTACCTCCAAAGGTATTACTAAAGTAAAGCAAATCTCGAGTTTAATGCTGCAATTCCAAAAAACAAAGTTGTGTACAACTCTTGGAATAACTCACCAAAATAAATAACTTTTTAATGATATTGTTTAGTGGTGCTCACAGTCTGTTATTCAAGAATAAAGCACGTGTTACCTGCATCCTAAAATGATATCCGTTCTGCACCTTTTCTTAGAGGTTTTCCATAGACAGATAGTCTGTTAAGAGTCCTTGCACTTGTACATTCTAAATAGTGGGTATGACTGCTTGTTTACTCATATAACCGAGTGCTTGGTATTCTATCTCCTTACTTTCAAAGAATAGTTTATGTGCTTAGTCTATTATTTTAATTTAAGAATTAAAGCTGCTG